AGATGCAACTCTAAATCAAGAAATCCTTATAAAAATAGGGCATCAAAATGAAGTCCTTTTATTATGTGGAAAAGTTTTTGAAAAGTCTTTTGAAGCTCTTTGATCCAGCTTTGAAATAATTTTGGTAGATTACTATTGTACGAAACCCATAATTTATAGTAGCTGACCTAAGCTGCTCTTTGTATAACAGCCATATATGAAACAATAGCAGGAAAGTGAAAAACACAAGGGGAACTAAAACTGTTCTGTTTATTATTTAGCTCATAATTACATCTTCCTTATTTAATCTTTTGAATCCTGGCATGTTCTTAATAATACAGGTTCAAATAATATTTACTATACACAGGAGAGTTAGTTTTGAGTAACGCATTTAGACTATCCAAACTTTGTGTAACTTGTGACCTTTCCCTAACCTAAGCAAGGTCTATTTTATACAGATCGTCCTAGATAGACGGTTTCTCTATAAATGGTGAAGTTGCTGCCAAGCTCCCATTGTTCGCTACTTCATTTTTCAACAGGCACACTTTAGGTTCCTATCGCACCACTGTAAAGAGCAAGCCCTTGAGGTTTCTTCTTTTGTCAACGTAATAAAACGGGTATTTCTGAATAACTTGCAAATCCGCAACAAATGGCCCTTTGTGACTTAGAATAACACGATAGGAGGAATTTTTTTGTTGTTGTTTTTGCAGGCGGTCTCCTATTTTATTCCATAATATTAAGTTAATACTTGAGCAGCGTTTGTCTTAATATATTTATAATCTTCTCCTTGAAATAACAAATGCGTGTTTCTAACAACTGTTATTCTCGCTCCGTATTCACTGCCTAACTGCAGAAGATCCCTTCAGAAGCTCTCTAAATAGCGAGACTACTTCAGCTGAAGTAAGAGGAAGAATCAAGTTCAATTCTGTGTACTTTTCGTTGACCCTTGAGGAGCTGTAATCAATTCTGATAAATAAGCCCAACCTGTAGGACGTACAAGCTTTTGCCAGAATGACTATGGTTTGAAAGTGGGGAGCTACCCAGCTTCCCCCCCCGGAGCCAAGCAGATTTTGGCACGGGAAGAAAGCTAAACCTTTGACTTTGACAGACCTTCTTGCAGAAGTGCCGGGCAAGCTAGGCTTGAACTTGCAGAAAGCAAGGCTCCTTAACGAGAGAGACCACTTTAACAGCTAAATTCCTGACATTGGCTGTGCCTGTTTTCTCGTAGCACAGATGCACTCTTAACTTAGTCCTTTGTAGACCTCTGCTCTCAATACTGGAGTGATTCCACTGCGCTAGTGCTCTGCTCTGGGAACACCCCCCGCCTGCAGGAATGATCCATATTTCAAACCAAGAGAAGGAAGAAGCGCACCACGATGCTTCGCTGTTACAACGCGGTGTGGAAATTTGAGGACCTAAAGCTGCTATTTAAATTAGAGTGAGAGCAAAATGGCTTGAGATGGTGGGTCAGCCCAAATGCACAGGGAACTGGAAACAGCACTCTCCAGATGTAGTACCAGAAACAGAAGCAGGCAGTAGAAAACACAGGACAGACTTTTCAAAAGGGAAACAAGGGCAAATGGGATGATGCTGAATAAATAAAGGCAAAATAGTTAAAAAAAGGGGAAAATTAAAAGGGGAGGATTTAAAGGCAAACGGAAAAGGCCATGAATAGTCTTCTGTAGTAGTCTAGATGGTGGAGAAATCCAAAAGTAAATAGCAGGAAAGAATGACTTTTTGAATGAGCGAATATAACAAAATAGGATGAAAATTATTCATGAACTGTCAGTACTATAAACGTGATAAAATAGTAATGAGGTAAGCACGGTGTGACATTTGGTCCTTTTTCTTCAGCTTTAGATCAGAAGTTTTATTCTGTTCTGAGCTGGCTTTAGTGAAAGATTATTAAACTCATACTAATAATATGTCCCTGGAACACAGGAATGGTAAAAAATATTTTCTTTTTATACTAGAGTGTGACCCACCATTGTGCCGTTCCTCCTATACAAGGAAGTTTTACTTCCCTGTTCAACACAATTACATCAATTCCTAAAGCTCAGAACAGGCCTTATTACAGTGCTTGTAAGAGCAGATGCTTGGCAAGTCTATATATGCCAGCGAGAACATCATTCAGTTTTATGCACACTTCTGTTTTCTAGCTTGGTGTAATTCATTAGCACACTCTACAGAATACTCCATAAAACTGGATTTGGCTTTAATGTTAAGGTTCTGATGACTACAGTGTTGTTTAAGGGAACAAAAGCAACAAACAACCCACAAACAAACAGTTGTCTCTCCTCTTTAATATTAAAGTTGATGTTTACAGCTGATAAAGAAAATACACAAATGAGGGGTTTTTTTGCAAGATTCAAGTAGGAATATCAAAGTAGTCTTATTTTTTTTTTCAATGTTCTGCTTTCAGCATTTCAACTAGTGACACAGTGTCATTTTTGTGGTGGCAAAGCTTGTTCGATAGCCTGCAATGAAATTAGTACAGTTTGTATACATTTGTGGCTTATTTCATCCTCATTCTAATACAAAGATTCTTAAAGGGGGCGATATATAAAGATGAGGTCAAAGCTTTGATTAAAGACAGCTGTACTGCTTTCCAACCTGTTATGTCACAGCATTAGGTAGAGGAATAAATAAACAAGTACAAGCCTAACCTGATTTATCTGTGTGTCCCCACATAAATTTGTTTAATGTAAAAACAAATAAAGCAAAGCTTTGATGGAGGTTGAGCAGAATTTTCAACATCTGTGCAGATAAATTTAATTTATTCAAAAAGAAAAAGCTGCATTAGTGCATCATGTAAAAGCTGATTTAAATGATTTCATACAACAGAAAGCATATGCACTAGCTAAAACAAATTCAGTTTGCCCTTAAAACCCATTTTGCTCAAACAATCATTACTTCTGAATTTTCTACTACAATAATGTTCAGTTATTTCTTCTGTTTTATTCTCTTCTTGATTTTACACATTCCACTAACCTAAACCAAAGTTAAAAGTCCCAGGGGCAGCCAGACCCTAAATGCAGCTTCTGTGTAGCATCAGGCAGGTACGCTTCACAGATTGCTTCTGTGTATCTTTATGGGCAGATCCTTAAAGCTGGTCAGGTAAGCATAATACCTTAAATAGTTGAACATAAATGATTTACAGATGTTTGAATACTTTAAAAAAAATAAATCTTTCCACTATAACATGTTCAAACCCCCAAAAATAACCTCTATGCAACAATAACTCACTGTAGTGGAGCTATACTAGCTTATCTATGCAGTTAGGGACGGAGTGCTAGGAAGACTAAAGGTATTTTTTCCTGAAAATGAAAGATTAGTCAAAATTATAAACTCCTGCCTGAAACTTACCAAAACGTGCTCAAGTGAGAACTAAAAATTAGAAATAAAAATACTGCATATGCATCTGAAAACTGTAGCTGAAAAAAACTGTGTAGGATTAATACCCTTTCTTTTAACTCAAGGCAAGACTGTAAAAAGTCTGCATGTGATTTCTGAAATCATACAGGCACACAAAGTATCACCTCAGCTGAAAAAGATGATGAATATGGACTGTAATGTTTCAAAGACCCTTTCCTTATGGAAGAGGTTATCAACTTGTGCTTTAGATACACGGTTATCACACCTTTAATTCTATAACAGAATCTGTACCGCTGCTTAACTTCTCTGCAAATCCAAACATGGGTGAGCATACATGAAAAAACCCTGATCGACTTTTTAAAATATTTAGTCCTTTCCTGAATGCCAGTTAGCACAGAGAAGAGCATTAAAGAGTGTCAAGCCCAATCAGCTGCTATCATTAAGAAACATCTAACTGAGAGCACAAACCTGAGGCCAAATACTGCCCCTCTGAGCGGCCATGAGGATGGAAACAGAATGAGAATGAACTCCTCAAAACTTCAAGGAGGGCTAACACCCACCTCAATGTACCTCTGACATTGGTGGTTGCAGCAAGAGGAAAAACAGTGCTTTTACAAGAATACATAACTACGCAGGAAACTTATGCCCATTTGTGTGCTTTATTTGTTTTGTGGAACTGATCCAGTATGAAGCACTGCTTTATCATTTTTCTACTCCTCTTCTTGAACGTCAGGATGGTAATATTCTTCAGAAGTAACCCAACATGGAGAGCTCCTGCACATTGTTCTTTTGGACTTCAGTACACCAGAAAATTGCATGTTACAGTACCTACAGGGGTCAAGACAGATTTCTTTCTTAAAGTCAGTTAAGAGAAAAGTTCCTGGGTATAGATTCCCCGGGGGCTGGAAAGGAAAAGACAAAACACGAGTTATTTTTGAGTCATTAAACTACTAACTAAAAAAACCCACAAAACTAACCCCAAACTTCATAGGCTCATATACATAAAATAAATCCTTGCTCTTTACTTTCACCTCCCTCAAAATCCCTTAAGATTTTTTTTAACTGTTAACTTGAGATTCCATTGTTGATTTTAGCAATCAGATAGCGACGAAACACATATACCAATTATTCTCTCAAAAACTGGCTATTTACTCTAACAGCCAGAAATTATATGACCCCGTCTTACCACTTGGGCTTTATGAGCTATGCATTATATTGTTTTAAGCTCCAGAATCAGTCGTTACCAATTTTCCACATCAGCATGGGTGTTTCAGTCAGCCCGCTAGCACTGAATAAACTTGTGAGTGAAACCATAAAAAAGCCACTTATTTTTAAAGGTGACTCTGCAACAGGGATGAGAGCTGAAAGTTGCACCTTTCAGCCTCCGCATTTTTGTCTTTGTTTAGAATGCTAGAGGCAGCCATCCGGAAGGAAGGAAGATTATGAGTATCCAGAAACTAGCTGTTTGACAGCGACAGAAATGCTGATAATGAGTGGGTTGTGTCTGTCTTTTTTGGCTGATCACAACAGAGGTCTGAAGCAAAACAGAAACTCTTGATATGTTTGTGTAAAGAGGCAGTAGCATAAGGGCAGGCAGCAGGAGTTCAGCTGAAGTTCAGGGCAGATGCTGCCATTAGTTTACACTGCAGGAAAGTAAAATTGCTTCCGGATTTACCTCTTCCTCCCAACATCAGCGTTGAGCCATGCTGTGTCGCAGAGTCACAATGTCAGTAGGAAAGCAGTCTTTTAGCAGGATACCGCGTTCACGATGGCAGTCCAGCTCTTCAATAAATCCATACCAGTAGATGACTAATCCAGGGCCAAATCTGTCAAGCAAAAAGGAAAATGAACTTATGTGATTGCGCTAAGGGGACTTCAGCACCTCTGCAATTCCAACACAAGTAAATCTGTTAATTTCACTGCATAATTGGAGAGAGTATTTGTCCTCCATTTAATTTTCAAATTTTAATCAATGTTGAACTGTTGTATGTCGTTAATACCTGATTCCATGAATAAAAATGCTGTTTACAGACTGAAACAATCCACATCAGAGTTTTGCCTTTTCCTTTGGACACTCTGCACCCATCAGTAAAAAAAGAACTACGCCGTAAACATTAAAAAACATTTAGTAATTTTCATACATACAGAAGCCTCTCTTGCCACGCACTCTGCTTTTTCAGATTTGGACGTGCAGGGACTAAAAATACAGAGGTTTATGCAAGTCCCAGTTCATGCAAATTATAATACCATGAAGATAACAACAAGTCCTTAAAATGTAATCTCTACAATGAGCTATTATTCAGGCAATTACTAACGTAAAGCACAATTCAGAAAGAAACAGAAAGTTTCTGCTGTAACCTCTCCGAAATGTGCCTCAGGAATTCCTCAGATATTGCTAGCTCTGACTGATCCCCACTAGGCAATCTCAGGAAGTAGCCCCATGGACTATTTTACCCATCAGGAAGTTCAGACCTTCAGGCTGGGTTCATAAAGAAGTAATCACTATCAATCACTGTGTACTGCGATATGTTTTGCACATCAGTTTCACGTTTTTCCTACTGAGAGCACTTAATTAAAGGGCAGCACTACTTTTGGTGTAGTGTTGCAGGAATTTTACAGTGAAATCATAAATTATGAATGTTGGGTTAGTAAAAGGATGTCTAAAAACAGAACTGCTTTCTGTAGTCTAACATTACAGCAGTCTGTACAACATGAGGCCAAAAAGCTTTTTCTTCCCTTGATTTATTATATGCTGTAGTGAACTTGCCAAAACCAACAGTGCAGGATGAGCTGTTAGATACCGTCTGTACAAGAAAAAGTTCAATAGAATGTCATGTAATGGTTTATATGCAGAGCCGTGCTCAGGACTCAACCAATATGGTAGCCAATTTTTGTTAATGTTTAATTATAATAAAAATGTGCTGGGGGGATGTGTGGTAATCTAAATGTCCACTTAGCAGACAATAGAAGCACTCAAAACCATGGGTAGTGCCAGACCGGCTTCTTTAGGGCGGTTTCTTTCCAACAACGGAGGGAAAACTCTATTTGATGTACTCATGTAATGGAACAGGCATCAAAGGAAGAAGAAACCCCTGTGGCTTCCTCCTGCAGTTTCAATTAGATACGGTAGTCTTCTGCCCAAAACTGCTGCACAGCCTTGTAACATTTCGGTTTATGGCTACTGCTCTTCAACCTAGAAGTGGCCGGAGTTTAGTGGCAAAGTAAATTACCCCTCGGCATAGCTGAGGCAACATTGGCAAATGTGCTTTTTGCGACCGAAAGATGGTATTTGAAAGGGGAAAGGTTAAAACTCTGACAAATCCAGCTATATTACCTAACATATTCAAACACGTTTAGCATTAAATAAAGCACAGATTAAAAAGTGGCTCATAGGCAAGGACGATGCTGCCTACACCCAATTCCTAAATTTTCCCTTGCTGGCCAACAACTTCAGCCTCTACTCTCTCTAAGGGCTTCTCTCCATTTTCCTTTGCTTAAGTTCACGTGGGGCCAAGATGTGCAGGACCTCGCTGCACCGCAGAGGCCAGCTGGCCTAGCAGCAGCGGGGCGCACGTGGCAAGTGAAGCCAAGGACGGATGCTCACCGCCTCCGGTGAGAGGCAGTGATTTGCTGATGCAGCATGGGCCTACTTTTGTTATTTCTCAGACTACGTATCTGTTCCCACATCAACCAAACATAGAAAAGGGATAATTGGGTGGGCATGTACTTATGTACTAACCAAAGTTATTTTAAAAGCAAAAAACCCCAGAAGATAGGGACCAGACCTTACACTTCTAATGGGTTATTTTATGCAAGGCTATGAAATGTACACAAGTACTCACTCACTGCAAGCGCGTGTGCCAGGTAAAATCTTGATGCTAATGAGCAGCTGTTCAGCCCAAATTTTGAAGGGCTCATTTTGCTCTGTGTGGCAGTCTGAATCCCCTATCCACCATAAAACGCTGTGCTGTGCTTAAGGCATGTTAAGTTATTTTTTGAGACTGTAATTTTTAATAAATTTAATATTTCAAGACTCCTCAAAAGGCTAATTTATGTCTTTCTAGCAAATCATCACAGCTCAAGCACAATTTTTCAGCAATATTTTGTGCTATAAAAATTATGTTCAGAAATGCCAAACTTGATGATAAAATTTATATACAAGAGCATCTGCATACTGTTAATTGCAGGAGCAAGTACATCTTTAGTGTGAAAACATCCATCAGTCCTGCTTTTGACTGTGCTATTATAGCAAAACTATTTGCCCTGTGCTGCCTAGACTGCACTTTTTTTCCACTATTTCGTGTCATTCCTTCTATTATAGCTCTATATCACACAGCCCATATTTATCATCACATAAAAAACATACCATACTTTTGTTTAAAAACACTTAAGTACAGTACTTAAGACCAAAATTAACTTGCTGGCACATTAAGCATTTGCCACTGACTATCAGGAACTCCTGCTGCTAAGTGCTAATTTCTCTCTCATTAACGCCCAGAGTTGGCAAATCACAAACAATGCCACTGGTTAATTACTGCTGCCTTAATTTGAAAAGACACTTAACCTTTTTGTGTAAGGGGATGAAGTAGGGAAGCGCAACCTAGAAGTAAGAATTATTCTTTTTAATTTGACTCCTTCCGAAGTGCAGATATGACACCATGAAGAACAAAACTCAGGGCTGTGAATTCCAAAGTAAAGCTACAAAACTCTTTCTGCATCAATTGTAACATTTAACAAGTTAGTGACTAACCCTGGTTTACACAGGAGAATAAACTAAAACGACAGAATGCTTACTTAGTATTGCTAGTGAAAGGGGACTCATTTAGTAGCTCTGAGGCGAAGAAAAAACGTTGAATGTACCAAATGGTTCTAAAACTATATAGATACAGTATGCAATATAGGCCAGGGTATCCCATTTCATATGAAAGACACTGGAGAAAGTTTATGCTTGAAACAAAAGCTTAGAATCTAACAAACTATGGACTCCTATGGATTTTGTTCTTGCTCTGAAAAACTGTATAAATCCCTAAAAATGTGCTTAACTTGTACTTCTCCTCCCCTGTTTTTAGTTCTTACCCTGGAAAGCCTAGGTGCGAAGGAACCCGTCCAAAAGTTATAAAAAACTGTAGTTCTACCTATTCCAGTGAAACTATTACTTTCAGAACTTTCCTTTTAGATGGAGTTTCTTCTTAAAGCTGAAAAGAAATCCAAGTAACTGAGGTTTGCTTAATTCCATGCAGTAAAAATAGAATAAAATACAGAGGCAAGCTTCCTTCAGAATATAATAAACACAGCACGTGAAAATTGTCCACACAGGTCGCATCGGTTTACTGAAAAATCAACCAAGAAATATGTAGTTATAATTATATAAGTCCTGGTTTAGTCATTGTCTAGTTTTGACACTATAAGTGGTGATGACACGGCAGCCAAAGCCAACCTAGCTGCAACTTTAGTGCAGGGTCAGAGTGCCAGAAGAGCCAGAAGGGAGGCAGAGAGGCTTATGACCCCACGACATGGCAAGAAGAGAGCAGGATTACAAAACCCCATAGATTAGTTTAGGCCTAATTTAGGCTTGATATAAAAGACCCAATTTAGTCTTAAGGGCAGCAGACAGTGTCTTTCAAAGAATCAACCGAAGCACTTGAGACAGATGTTGGAGATAGTAAAATATAGTTTGAGTATAGTTAAATATAGTTACAGGCTCAACAGTGCTTTAGATGAAACTTATGTCTGATCATACCACCTTAAATAACTCAGCTTTGCACTAATTTAAGAGTGTTCAGAGGATCTTTTATACTGGTTTAATGACATGGATTTTGAAAGAAACCCATAGTTAAAGGAATATAGGTCTGTACATCGATAATCTCGGGATGCTGGGCTTTGTTCTTGGAAAGGAGTTTCACGGAGATATGCTGAAAAGCCAGGAAGGTAAAACTGAGATAACCCAAAGCCAAATGGTTCTTTTTGTTAAAAAAAAAAATAAAAATAAATCACATATTCGTATAAGCCAAAGGATCACTTAAGAAAGAAAAGGAAAAAAAAACCTAAGTAAAATGTGAATCTGGGTTTAACTTGCCCTCCAGTTGAACCAGTTTTGTGCTAGAAAAGAAAAAAGACTTTTATTTATTTATCAAAGTGGCCTAGTAGGCTCACACATATTCTACGTCAATTCAAGAGAAACTACTTTCTAGTAATGTCTTTTCTTCTGGAATGTCTGTGTGGGGTCCATACTAGCTTCTAAGGATCTGCCTAGACATGTGGCTGTTGCGAGTGGATTTTTTCACCATCAAAAAGCCTTGCATGTGGTTTTATGAAAAATGCATTTTCAACACACTCCTCGATACTGAGCAGAAATGTAAAACATCTTGCGATTGTTTTTAAATAAATGTACACTTTATTTATTCTTAGTCTATTTGTTATAGATGGGTTGTATGCATCTCAGCGTAATGTAAATAATTTTAATTCCCAGTGACTCATAATGAAATGCTGGCATCTGAATTATTATTTCTAATATGCATGTATTTAAGCAAACATTTTATCAAAGAGATTCAGATGAGTATTCACGTTATACAAAAGCATAACAGTCTACCTGGTTGGCGATTTTGATTGTGAAGGTCACATCTGAATGCATCTTTGAAGGACTGCATTCTGGTCCCTTGCTTTTTAAGGTCAGATCATCAACAGCGCCAGCTAAAAAGCTGGCTTTGTTTCCTTTTTTCATTTTAAATATCAAGCAAATTAGAGTATTACCACTTGTACACCACTACTTATTTCCTGGGAAAAGGGAATTACAAAAGTTCACAAATGAATTATTAGATTCTAAGTC